GGTGAACGACTTGAACAGCACTTTAACCGGTGTAAAATCGGGTTCGTCAGTCTAAGTTACTGTATACTTGCAGATGATAAGAAATCCAGCTTTTTTACCACCAAGAACATAGTAAAGTGCAACAGCAGTGTTTGTAGACACAAAACAGTGTCCTTCCGACGTCGTTTCCTTCAAGGGCTGGACTGTCGCTATTTAGAGTCCTACCTTGAAAGTGTCTGTCAGAAATTCCATAGATCAAAAGGCAACGATGGGAAGCACCGCCATAGTGAGAAATCTTGAACTGGTGATGCTTGCTTTAAGGGAGCGGTGGGTTAAAATGGTAACGAATACAGGTAGAAATAATGCACGTCCTAAACATAAAACATGACTATTATTTACGCAATTCAGTTTACCAAACGGTATTTCATAGCAATTGTATGGCGAAGGCTCTAGCAATTGCTTATGACCGCTAAGTCTAAATTTTTCGAAAATGTAATCAGTCGATAATAGCTTATGTTATAACTTAAGGATTCGAAAATTAGTAATTAAATGTAAATTAATTACTTATTAAAAACTGAATTATGAGAGTACTGGATACCTTTTCAAGGGCTGTTAATTTTCACCAAACAAAACTGCTTGATAATTCTAAGCAAAATTAATTATCAGGTATAAAGAGTCGGCCAATAGCTCATACACCATAAAAGTCTTAACCTCCCCTTAAAAACAACGCATAAGTCATCCGCCCCCTTCTCCAGTAAGCAAATAGACACCACTGACACATCACGACACCAACCCTTTTTAACTGCAAAACGAAATATCCACAAATACTAACAGCCCTACCGAATACGAATTCAGTAGCAATGTAATAAATCAAAGAAAGACATCATTGCCCTTTTATTATTTTTTCAGCTATTATTCTGCTTTCACGGCCGGCGTTAGCGAAGGAGTTCCTGCTAGAAACACGCAATGTTCCCGCCATCAGAAAAGGCAAGGTTGCCATCATTCACATCGAGCCCACGGACATGCTGACCTATGATATCCTGCGCCTGTGGCGAAATGAACTGGAAAGTGGAGTAAACCTGGGAGCGGCCGGGCAGAGTCTGATCATCATGACAATTCTGCCAACGAGAACTATGTACCAGTCCAACTCCTCCATTTATACGAACGTAAGTGGAGCGCACCTTTTTGAAACATTCTACTGGAAAGTTTGCAGGTTTCTGCAATGTCCATATTCCCCTGGAAAGTGATTTCGAAAGTCTTTGGTACTTACACGTGTCCGTTGAACAAAACAGATATATTCAGTTAAGTGAATACTGAAGCGACCCAAATGGTGTCAAGCACACCAAGTTAATTCACTCACAGTTAAGGCAGACGGACTTGTAAAGATGTACGTTTTCAGATAGAGAAATAGACCTA